ACTAAAACGGAACTTGGGAAGATTATTCTATCTGTAATTAAAAAAAAAAAAAAGTGAACAGTCCATCCTCTTCACTGTGAATTCAATTGATTAGCTACTTCCAGAGGGCATCCTTTATTTCACAAGACATAATCTTAAAAGGCAAAACACCAACAAGACAGAAAGCCCATCTGATGTTTTCTCTTCAGTATTGCTGAAGTTTCCAAAGCCTGGGTAGCAGACTCTAGAGAAAGAAGCTTCTGTTTGTTCCATCTGGACCCTTATATTTTATGAACAACAGCAACACGCAATTGATTACTAAGAGCCTCACTTCTAAAGCTTACTGTAAACAACTCCTAACATAGGGCCATTACTAAGACAATTACTAAGGATCCGGTAAGCCTGCTGGGAATATTGCTAAGGAGTGTTTTCTATGCAACTGAGTTTCTAAGATTCATCAAGAAAATTTCTCAACCACAGCTTAACAAAGAGTTCTAAATTCAGAGATCAAATGTGCAGGTCAGAGAGAAGAGAGCGTGCCTGACAAACACTAGACTACTCAAAGGGGTCCTCAAAAGGTCTGAAGCAAGACAAAGGCAGACTCTTGAGTGCGTCAGCCCTGATCACCAGTGACGCCTTCGCCCCGGCAACAGAGACACTACTGGAAGCTTATCAAACTTTAACCTTTATTGACATGAAGCTGAAAAAATATATATCGTGTCTGAAGAAAGTCCCAAATACTCTTAAGAGGCCAATGTTTAAAAAAAACAACACTGGTCAAAGAGATTCTCCTGTTGACCCTGAATAAGAAAACAGCAGTGTTGTGAGCTGCCTAAGCACAGAAGCGCCTTCTAGTTGCCAAGGGTCTCATTCTCACGACTTCAAGGAACTGAATTCTGCTGACAACCTGAATGAGCTTGGAAAAAGACCCTGAGGTCCAGATGAGAACATATCTCAGGGATAGCCTGATAGCCTTGTGAGATTAGGAACCCTGCTATGCTGTGCTGAGACTTCTGACCTACAGAAACTGTGACGAAATAAATGTAGATTGTTTTAAGCTGCAAAAAACCCCACTCAACTCCTAAGAAATAAAATTTCATGAAATATGAAGAAAACAAAATTTCTGAACTACTCCTTCTAATACCAATTTTTTTGGTTTTTTGTTTTGGTTTCTTTCTTTTCTTTTTTAAAAGATGACCAGTAAGGGGATCTTAACCCTTGACTTGGTGTTGTCAGCACCACGCTCTCCCAAGTGAGCCACCGGCCGGCCCTGTTTTGGTTTCAGCACACAAACACAGTCTGTGTTAACAGATCCAACAGCCTTTAATGAAAAACAGAAATAGATACACTAACTCTGACTGTCGGCAGAAGAGAGTGCTAAACATTAAGAATCTTTGTTGAATGTCGTGAATGCATATCAAGTGCACTGCCTCAGATAGGCTCCCGTGACTTGCAGGGTCAGTGCTGGTATCATAGCCTGACTATCCGTAGGTGCAACCTTCCCACAGAAAACAACTTGAGTGCTAGCCAATGCATTAAAACCAAATGCCTAAAGGCACTAGAAACAAAAGCAGACAGATACTGGAGATGAGTCTATACTTGGACGAAAACACAGGCATCGGGTGAATGTGTTTTTATGGTGCTTTCCCCTGAGGGTGCACTCATCCATGACAGGTGTGGGGCTTAAACCTCACACAGAAGACCTGCAGCTGATAGTCATGCAGAGCCAGTGGACTGAGTTCTGGGCAACCACAGATGGAAGGTGAAAGGCAAAAACCTGGAAAGAAGAAAGCCACAAAAGAGAGCCCTAAATCATGCATACAACTGCCCAAATAAATATCTGATACATGAAGTACACAGACAGAGAGCAGACCCAATGCAGCCCGGCGAAGGCAAAAAGGACAGAATGAAATCTCCACTGCTGCTCACAAAAGACAGACTTTTTATTGCCTGATAAAACAAAACTAAACATCACTATTTTGGGAGAACATAACAAAATCCAGTCTCTAAGACACAACATTTATAACGTCCAGGATACAATTAGAAATTACTGTATGCCCTAAGAGACAGCAAAATGTCACCCAGATTCAAGAGAAAAGCACAAAGACCAACCTCAAGAAGAGTAGATGCTGGAATTAGCAGAGAAGAATTTTATTTTATTTTACTTTATTTTTAAAAAGATGACCAGTAAGGGAACCTTAACCCTTGACTTGGTGTAGTCAGCACCATGCTCTCCCAGTGAGCTAACCGGCCATCCCTATATGGGATCTGAACCCATGGCCTTGGTGTTATCAGCACCGCACTCTCCCAAGTGAGCCACGGGCTGGCCCAGCAGAGAAAAATTTTAAAGGCACTTATTGTAACTGTGCTCATGGACACAAAAATGCTCGTAATAATTAAAAAGATAGGAAATCTCAGCAAAAAAAGAAAAACTATTCTTAAATAAAAGCAAAAAGAAATTCTAGAACTTAAAAAAGAATATCTGACATAAAAAATTTGCTGGATAGCCTTAATGGTATATCAGAGATGACAGAAGTCAAACGAACTTGAATAGAAATAAAAATGAACCAATCTTCAGAAGTGGGAGACTGAAGAAAGAAAGAAAGAAAAAGCCATGGGAGCCTATGAGACAATACGAACACACATCTCTTGGAGTACAAAAGTAGAGGAGACTATAAGACAGAAAACATATTTAGAGACAAAGCCTAAAATCCCCAAATTTGGTGAAAGACAAAATTTATGGATTCAAGATGCCAAATCACAATAAATACAATGAAAATCATACCTAGGCACATCACAAACTGCTAAAAAAACTACGGCAAATCTATAAAGTGCTAAAAGAAAAAAAAGATCAAACATCATCCTAAAATTCTACATATCCAGTAAAAATATCCCTCAAAAAATAAAGGTAAAACAGCCATTTTCAGATAAATGAAAACCAAGAGAATTCATCACCAGCAAAGCTGCACTAGCTATAGAAATGCTAAAGAAAGCGTTTCAGGCTCATGGGAAACCAGAACAACACTATCTTCAGGAAGAAATGAAGACAACAGAGATGGTAAATATGTGAGTAAATGAAAAAGACTATTCACATTTCTTAAACTTACTCAAACATCTAAGACGGTTTAATTACATAAGAATGTTTAAAGGAAAAAAAATGTAACAATGTACTGTGGAGGCTTAGAACACATACAGATGTAACACTTATGAAAACTGTATAGAGAGTAAGAAAGGGCAGAAAACGGGCTTTTATGGTTGCACGGTTCTCATGTTTTACATGAACCGGAACTACATTAACTGAGTGGACCAAGAAAACTATTAAGGCACACTGTAATCCTGAGAAAAGGTGCCAAAAAATAACGCAGAGAAATTTACCTAAAAAGTTAACCGATAAACTAAAATAGATTTCTACAAAAATCGAGTAACCCAAAAGGTGGCAGAGAAAGAGGAAGAGAAGAACAAAAACAGTGGGACAAACAGGAGGCCAGCAGTGAAGGGGCAGAGCGGAGCCCACCTGCATCAGCATGTCAACTGTACACGGGCTGACTGGTGTGTAACAGCAGACAGCAGAAACCACCGAGTGGATGAACACCAAGACCCAACCATACGCTGTCCTTAAGAGACTACTTATATTTATAAAAACACAGTTAAGTTGAAAGTAAGCGGGTGGGAAAAAACATGCCATGCAAATGGAAGCATAAGAAGGCTGAACTGGCATATTCACAACAGGTAAAGTAGACTTTACAACAGAGAGCACCACGGCAGAAAAACAGGGACACTGCACCATGATAAGAGGGTCAGGAAGACAGGACAGTCATAAATGTGCCCCGAAACTACAGAACGCACATACTTCCACGTGCAGATGGCCATCATGACAGACCACTGGCTCCATTAATTAGAAATTAATAACAAGTTAACTAAGAAAACTTCAGATAATTGAAAATTAAACTACTTCTAAACTAAGAATCAAACAAGGAATCGCATGAATCAAGCAATCACAAGGGAATTAAAAATATTTCACATTGAATGATAATTAAAATACAATAAATTATGGGATGTAGCTAAAGCCATGGTTAGAGAGCAATTTATAACTTTAAAAGCTTATATTTGAAAAAACAAGAGAGGTCTAAAACCAGTGGCCTAAGGTTCCACCTTAAGAAACTAGAAAATTAAAAAGAAAGCAACCCTAAAAAGTAAGCTGGAAGAAGAAAATCATGTAAAACAGAAATCAACAAAAACAGTATATTTCTAAAAGGACAAAGGATATATTATATTTAACAGACTAATAGGTGTCAAAAGCAATACTATTTACTCCATTAATTATGATAATTTCTCCAGTTGCAGGTGAGACTAGAGGGATGTCACCAAACAAAATTTTTTAAAGTTATAATGAAGGACAGAAATTTCGAGAATGGAGTGTACAGCCACAGAAGTAAAATATTAGATGGAAACTTCTTTCTCAGAAATGGTATGCCTTTTCTGTCATGAATAATTAGTGTCATGGGTAAACTAAATCTTAGCAAAATAATATACTACTCAACATTTAAAGCTAGCCAGGTTCAAAAGAACTTAAATGGCCCACAGGACTCTTCTGCCTCCTGTCCAACAAGAGCACGAGTTGGTGTGAAGCATGGAAAAGTGCGTGTGCATATGCACATATACATGCATCGGACATGTATGTGGTTAGGGTGGGAAACTTGGAAAGGTGCTCAAGATGGAAGACAGTTTAGAACAGATAACGAACTGAATTATATTAACGTGAAAAAGAAGGGTGGCTGCTAACTTCTAAGGGAGTCAGTAAGTTCCAGAAAATGGGAGGTTGTGGTAACTTAAGTCCACAGGGTTCTTACTGGTAAAGGCAGGTCAGGCCTGTTTCTGAAGATCTCTGGCCATTACTGCATTACTTTCATTTGAACCAATCTCATTAAATAATGGCCGACAAGAAGTGAGTATCCAAGGTATACAGTGTATCCCAGGCAAGCAGCTAGCATCACTGGAAGGTTATTAATGAGAACATGTACCTGTATGTCCCGCCAGCTCACGACTCACACGTACATTCCCTTCACGAGTTTTCAGATTGTAAATGGAGCAAATGTTATCCAGGCCACCGCAGGCCACATAGTTCCCAGAAGGGGCATATGCACAGGTCATGACCCAGGAGGAGCGCAGAGGGATGGCGTGGACCTAAGTGACAGGAACACAGACAAGGCAAACACCTTTAAGTTCAAAAACATTAACTACTGACACCATGATTTTATTTCTAGTCTTTGACTTTTATTGCATAGGAGGTAACAGAGTAAAATAAGGGCCAAAATTATTTAGAGAGTAATTTTTTATGTGTGGCCAATCAGATGAAGTAATAACTTAATTAGAAATCCAGTGCTGCATGCTGAAACAGCAATTTAATCTGTAGTTTTATAAAAGTCACAATTTACAGTTAGGTGAGCACTTACGTAATATTAACATTGTCTCCTAATCAAAACTACAAATAAAAATGAAAATACTTCATTAGCCTGCCAAAATGGCTATAAATTAATTTTTTTAAAAAAATAGTTACTGAATAACCAAAATGGACATTATTATAATCAATCCTGCCACATACCTCCCTGTGCTTTAGATAGAAATGTTGCAATCACTGCAATCTTTTATTTGAATTTTTTGTTTTGTTTGTTTTTGGCAGCTGGCTGGTATGGGGATCTGAACCCTAGACCTTGGTGTTACAAGGTGGCACTCTAACCAACTGAGTAACTGGCCAGCCCTCACTGCAGTCTTTTATATACACTGAGTATTCTTTAGTAAAATATAACTGAATTAGATCCTTTACATATATGTTTGGACCAATAATAGTACTTTTTTTTTTTTTTTTTAAAAAGATGACCGGTAAGGGGATCTCAACCCTTGGCTTGGTGTTGTCAGCACCACGCTCAGCCAGTGAGTGAACCGGCCATCCCTATATAGGATCTGAACCCGCGGCCTTGGTGTTATCAGCACCGCACTCTCCCGAGTGAGCCACGGGCAGGCCCCAATAATAGTACTTTTTTATTCAACACAATACAACCCTGACTTACATTTTAAAAAGAATCTAGTTTATACTTCAAAGTATAATGCCTTTCAGATGATCTCTTGTAAAACGTAAGGACTAAATTAAAATCTTTATTTCTGTATGCTATAAATAAAACATGAAACCTCCCAGACTGAGCTAAAACTAAAACCCAGGTCTCCAAGAAACATAGGAGGCATTCACCTCCCACCTGCTCAGTAAGGAGAGGACAAACTACAGTCCAATTGTGCCCAATCCAACAGAAGAGACCAATCACATCTGCCAGCACGTGATTCAGCTTCTATCTCACCTACACGACTTCATGACTAAAAAACAAAACTTGCCATGACTGACCTCCCTATCCTGTGTTACATGATTTAACATAAATGAATCCAGAGTTTAAAACCCTGCCATTTCCCGGGCTGGTTTTCCAGGGAGGGGAATTATGCAGTCCCTACCTTGTTTGTGGTGTAGCTATCCCAGATGATGAGTTTACCATCCTGTGAGGCACTGACGAGAAGCCTGGAGGGAAAGCACAAAAACAATCACAGTCCCGCAAAGGCAGCAAATGAAAATCAAACACCAAAACTTTGGTGACTTCTAACATGTGCTTCAATGTTACACCTGTTTGAGACAAAGCACACTTATAGATAAGCCAAAAAAAAAAAAAAAAAAAAAACGTTCTAAATGTGAGACCAACTTTGAAAGCACAAACAAAAATCCTGTCACAGATAATAAGTAGTTCAGACTGGAGAAAGCCTGGTTCCTAATGCAGACCAGAGCCCTTGGTCAGATAAGACAGGCTGACTTTACCTCATAACTGCTTGCCTCTGGTTGGTTTCCTTTCATTATAAATCAAATTGGAGACATACAGATCTTTCAAGAGCAAAACATGGTACAAATATTTAGTACACAACTTTCTGTTCCATTCTGACACAGAGAAAGCCTTGACATTCCAAATTCATGAAACGTTTCTCACTCCAATATTTCCCAGACTGAGACTGGAATCTAGGTCTGCTAGAAGCATAAGGAGGCACTCACCTCCCACCTGCCTGGTAAGGAAAGGACAAACTAAAGTCCAACTGTGCCCGGTACAGCAGGAGTGACTGTCATGAATTTTTCTCAAGATTATTTTCTTGCTCTGGGCAACTGTGCTAAGTTTGGAATCTGTGTGTTGAAAAGAAGCTCTGCTATACTTGCAGATTAAGACAGGCTATTGCAAAAGGAAAGCATAAATAATGAGCAAAGGAATTTTATGTCACTTAAAAAGTAAGTTGAATGAGGGTAAATTCTGGGGACCATAGCTACTCATGAGATACCCTGAGGAACTCTGTCCTACACAGAGCGCTGTTTTTAAGGAAGAACAAAGAAGGTTCTACTCACAATTCTGTGCATATTTGTCAGTATGGTAATAACATCATAATAATTTTTAATTTTAAAGATTTTGTCAAAACACACAGGTTTTAACCATTTCAGCTGTGAGAGTATCTGGCTTCTTGAAGCTGATCAAAAGTTGGAGGTAAAACTCGCTCAAGCCATTCTGATAACTTTGACACTTTTAATTGAACTGTATGTTTTGAAGCACTAACCACGAACTTCCTTTACAAAGGCATCAATGAGTTCAGCAAGGAATAAAAACCTTTTTAACACCGTGTTACAAAATCTATCACAGAACTAAACTAAGTGCAGGTTCCACTCCTATTATTTTTCAGATGTAATTCTTAAAGCAAAGTCCCCCATCCAGGTCCAGTCATTAACACATTAGGTACTTAAAGCTATTTCTATGCAATGGGGCAAGTTTCTCTCTGCTGCTCTATTTCCATCTAGCCCTTCTGAGACTTCGAACGGAGTATCAGAGCCAATCTAAAGCAGCTCATCCTCCCAGGTCAGGAAGGTCACCTTTAGAGAGGTCTCCTGGTCAGACGCTTAATAACTGCTGACTCACAGAGGGGTTAGAGAAATGTTAAGCTGTCTGCTGATCCTCCAGAAGGTGAGAAAAGATACGTCTCCTAATCCCAGGTGAGGTAACTGTAGGAGAACTGGGTTCACTTTGCCTCCTAGAGCCTTCATCCAGTCACACGTCAGTTACCTGAGGTGCCACCCACCCAGAACACAGAGGCCAAGCCAGGAAGTAACCAAAGGGCTCCAGGACACTGCAAGCAGCAGTCGAGCTCACACACCCAATGCCCTTTGTTTCACTCAGAGGAAGGAGGGCTCCCAAGCCAACCTTAGTTTAGTTGTGTGTTACTCCCAACCACAAGACTTCGGCAGACTTGAGAAAGGGAAGAAAAAATTTAAAATTAATTCATGTGACTGAAAGAGAATCTTAAATGTTATCAAAATTTTTAGTATGAGGGCCGGCCCATGGCTCACTCGGTAGAGTGCGGTGCTGATAACACCAAGGCCCCGGGTTCGGATCCCACATAGGGATGGCCGTTTCGCTCACTGGCTGAGCGTGGTGCTGACAACACCAAGTCAAGGGTTAAGATCCCCTTACCGGTCATCTTTAAAAAAAAAAAAAAAAAAAAATTTTTTTAGTATGAATGAATATATTGGTAAACATATTTCAAATGTACACATATTATACACTAATATATTCATTTATACAAGCCACTCATTGTGGGCCTCTTGTGTAGTTTTGAAAGACACACTGCTAGTCATTACAACAGTTTGGTGTCCATGAATCATACAAACACTGTGAAATAACTGGTACTCATAAACACAGCCTGGAGTCATGAAAAAATCTTGTGCAATCACCTTTGTTTATGAAGGCAGGAAATATGAAAATGACTTCAGGAAAAAATATATCCAACAAAACAAAACAAAACTATTTTGGGTTTTAAAGAGGCAATCACTGATCTATCTAGAAAACATGGATATCTAGAACAAATAATCCTGAGACGGCTTTGGACAGCAGAGATTCTCCTTGGTATCATTTTTTGGTTTTATGACTGTGCATTATGAAATATAATTGCCCAGTTTAAACAGCAATTATAAAACAAATGCCATGCCCCTAGCACCCTGTCCAAGAACGAGAACAGACCAACACCACACCCACCACCCTCTCTTCCCCGATGTGCCCCCTTGCTCGCAGGGGCAGCGGCAATCTTGAACGTGGTCCTGCTCATTTGTGCCCTTGCTTTTCTTCCTTCCAACACCAGGGCTTTCAAGTCACAATTTGTGTTTGAGACTAGATGGAAAACACAGCCTTGCACACAGTGATCTGGTGCCTAACGGCCCTCCTGCCTCACTCTTGGGACCCCATCCCCACCTCTGCTGCTTGGAACACACACACCCATCTCTTGGCTCCTTGAACACACCTGCCTGCAGCTCACGCTCTTCCCTCCCGGACTACCCATTCTAGAGCCTGGCTGTTGCAGGAGAGCACAATGCTGAGGGAGCCAAGACCAGCCTCCCAGTACTGTGCTCCAAGTTCCTGAATAATGCCTGGCTAACAGCACTGTTTAGTATAATGTCCTGATGCTCTCACAGACAGAGGAAAAGTCCTAGAGGTGACACAGTTTTGTTTACCATCCGCTTTTGATAATAAATTCTAAGGTAGATTGATTAGTAAGGACATTTTATTATTTATTTATTTTTTAATTTACTTTTTTAAAAAAGATGACTGATAAGGGGATCTTAACCCTTGGCTTGGTGTTGTCAGCACCACGCTCTCCCAAGTGAGCCAACCGGCCATCCCTATATAGGATCTGAACCCAGGGCCTTGGTGTTATCAGCACCGCACTCTCCCGAGTGAGCCATGGGCCAGCCCCGTTAGTAAGAACATTTTTTAAAAAACATTTTAATTTTTAAATTTTTTAAAGAGATAACTTTGACTTTACAAAGCATTTGCTACTTTTACTTATTTCTTTAAAATGATAATTAAAAAAATTTTATGACACTGCGCTTTAACCAACTGAGATAACTGGCCAGCTCTAAAAATTTTTAAGTCAAGAAATAATATTTATGGAGTACAATGTGATGTTTTGATATATGTTTACACTGTGGAATGATTAAGTCAAGCTAATTAACATATACATCACCACACATATTTCTTATTTTTTGTGGTGGGAACATTTAAAATCTACTCTTTGAACAATTTTGAAATATACATTACTACTAACTATAGTCATCATGCTGTGCAACAGATTTCTGAAACTTATTCTGCCTGTCTCACTGAAACTCTGAACCCTGTGAACACCTCCCCAAGTCCTTGGTTCCTCTCCCCTTTCCTTTTTTATCCTTTCTGACTACTGCCATCATTAAAATGATGTTAGCTCGCAAATGGAATTGCATGGGATCCTGTATAGAACAAACTAAAGATAGAAGCTTTTGTTCTCTAGCTGTTTACATTCTCCTGCAGACAATTTCAGGAACAGAGAGAAAGCCAAGCAGAAAATTCCACTCTGACAATTGAACACACACACAAAAACACACTACTCAAGGAAAGGCATGTTAAGAATTGTATGTTAGGTGTTTGAAAGAGCATATGATAGTCACACAAATCAACCAGCATCTTATTTAATTATCTGGGTGGAAAAAGCAGAAGAGACAGACTTTCTAGAAGCCTCTAAAAGAAGAGAAGAGAGTTTGATAGCTTTCATTTCAAGGATGCTGCAGGTAAAGACAAATAGCCTGAGCAAGGGTATGAAAGAGGGAGGAAGAAAGGACCCAGAGGTGGGGATGAAGGTGAGATGCCCAGAGGGAAAAGAAGTCCGAGTAATGAGTCTAATTTACAGCAGAAGGCACAGGAGCCCAGGAAGGAAATCATGTCTGCGGCATGGTAAGTGGAAGAAGGTGGGCAGACAGGCCAGGTGACAGCAGCTCACATGTGCACTGCCATGTGCCTGCCATGCATTTCAAGAAGAAAACCAACGGCAAACCCGTGCATGGCACTTGGCACCCACACTTAATCCTCCAACACCGCACAGGGTAGGTTTTGTGATTCCCTGAGCCAGAGCACTGAAATCATGAGAGGGCGTGGGCCAAGAGGCTGTAAGGAACAGGCTGGAAAGTCGAGGAACCATGGCACAGAGAGGTTAGATAACTTTTCCAAGGTCACATAAATAGTAGGCAGTGGAGCCCGGAGAACAAAGGTCTAGAAACTGAAAGAAAGGTGTAGGTGTGAAAAATAAATCAGAGCTGATATGAACCTGGCCACTGTGGTGAAGAGACGGCAGCACAGTCAGCCCAGGTAAGCAGGCATCGGGAAAGGGGAGCGCACTTGTCAGTGCTACACTTGGCCTGCCCAGATTTCTGATTCAACTTCCTAATTTCTTTCTTTATAAAATACAGCAAATGAGTTCAAGTTATTTTCCCCTAGGAAAACAGAACACCCCTTGACTGTATCAAGCATGATGTTCTGCTAACACCCAGACATACCTGGAATCCGTGCCCCAGTGCATGGCATAAATCTTGGCCAAGTGCCCCCTCAGTGTTCTCCTAGTGCGCATTTGAATTCTTCCCACCGGGTCGATGTTGTTTGTGATCTGAAAAATCAAAGTTACTGCAGATTAACATCTGCGATAAAATGCATCTGCACTTGAGATCTCCCCTTCTCTCCCACTCCTATAGTGGCTGTGCAGCTTACCTATTATGTCGACCAGGTTCCTGGTGCCATTCGTTAACTGCTTTTATTATGGCATTGTGTACCTAATTCCTTTTGTGATTCTTATTTAGTCTTACTGCTCTAGCTGGACCCTCAGGACACCCTGTCTCTCCCCCTCCCGTCCCTTCCAATATGCATGCAGCTAGTCCACAGACAGGTAAGCTTGTCCTTTTCTCTCTCCTTCCTCTCACTGTTCGCCTAGGCCCAGCTCCTCCTAGGTCTCTCAGTCCTCACAGGCTGCTCTTCTTTCGCACCACCACATGGATGGCTTATATCACAATTTAATAAATGGCTCCTATGTTAGGCCACATGGACCTGGACAATGGTTAGCATCTGCTTTTGCACATGTACACCTGCGGGCCTACCCACCATATAAATACTGGTAATTTTAGGTTGGCAAACAGAGTATGTGCATCACAATAGTGGGTTTTGAGAAATGGACAGTCCAAAATTATCTGAGAATTCAAATTCAGGTAATTCCACGTACTATAATTTTCTTCAATTTACTGTTTAAGCCCAATTAAAGTGCATCCCCTAAAGCATTTAGACAGTACAAAAAATTTAATCCTCAGTAGAAGCATAAATATAATTTCTCTTTCACATTTCTGTCCAATCCTTTCGACTTTATTACTTTTTTAATAAGATAAAATTCACATAACACAAAATTACCATTTTAAAGTACACAATTCAATGGCATTTTGTGCATTCACAATGTTGTGTAACCACCACTATCTAGTTCCAGAACATTTTCCTTACCACAAAACGGAAACCTCATACCCATTAAGTACTCCTGCCCCATAGTCTCTCTCTCCCCCCAATCCCTGGAAACCACTAATATACTTTGTATCTCTGTGGATTTTCATACTCTGGATATTTCATATGAATAGAATCATACAATACATAGCCATTTGTGTCTGGCTTCTTTCACTTATCATAATGTTTGTGAGGTGTATACATGTGGCAGTGTGTGCCAGTACTGCATTCCTTTTTATGGTTAAGTAATATTCCATTGCACAGATATACCACAACGTATTCATCAACTCAGTTTTGGAAATTTTGGTTGTTTCTACCTTTTGGCTATTGTGAATAATGCTGCTATGAACATGTGTGTACACGTATTTGTTTGAAAGCCAGTTTTCTATTCTTTTAGGTATATATCTAACAATGGAATTGCTGGGTCATATGGTAATTCTGTGTTTAACTTTTTGAGGAATTGCTAAATTGAACATTAGAAATTGAAGCTCTGAGGCAGACTTTGTTAAGAAGAGGAGCTTCAAAAAACTTAATTTAAAACAATATCAATATTTTACAACTATTACTCTGTAATAGGAAGTAATTACTTAAGTCTTGAGAGTGACTGTTTTCATCTAACAAAATCCCACTACTTCTCATGCCTATCATCAGAATGAAAATGCCCCATAAGTGGCTTTATATCCCAGTGTGCAGGAGAGGTTTCAGGTGTAGGCAGCACCACCCAGCAGCCTCTGCACCAGGCAGACTACTCTGCATGATTAAATTGGTTCCTACCTGAGAGAGAGTTGCATCTGCACATGCTTTTCTAGCATCCTAGGAAACAATAAAGACAAAGGAAAATGAGTAATGTTTTACATACATGTAATCCTAGGTCCTCACACATCAGTTTCAAAGAGGACCTCCATAAATGGTTAGAAGCAAAGTAGGATGTGAAGAGACAAAGCACTCTGATTCTTCTCCTTTAACATCCCATAGTCCACACAGAACCCAGAGAAATAAACACCCAAACCCACCTAAGATCTGCAGGCCATCTCATCTACCAGCACAGTACCCGAGGCCCCAGACTGCAACCCACACGAGAGGAAGCTGGGCCAGCACTGAAGAACCCTGGGACCTGCCTCTGCCTTCACCTGTCCTTGGGCCAGCTCACACTCATCTCGATCCATCTTTATCACAGCTCATGTGAGGCCAGCAGGGGTGGGGCCCAAGGAAGAAAGGCTAAAAAAGACCCAATATCCAGCCCCCAAAACTTAACTTTCAGATTATATTAACTAAAGATGTTGTTTTCAAGCCAAACGATCATTGATACTAAATTCTAGAGCAAGGGATCTGTACTCAGAATCAAATTCAGATGAGACTTTCTGGCTGTTCTTATCTTGTTATCAAACTGTTTTCTTATCCATAAAACCTACTGAAGAAGATAAAAACTGTGAAGGAATATATCGATGCTAATTAAAATGTTTTCATTACTACTAAATGACTAAAGTTACTAGAAAATAAATCTTGAAATCTCAATTTAGCATGTATTTTTATAAATAGAAAGATATATGAGGGGTTTTCAAAAAGTTCACAAAAAGATTCATACTGTCCTTTAATTCTATTTTTCCACTAATGTTTTGAAGTACTTTCATACATTGTGAAGGAAAATGAAACAATAGCTTTAAAAAGGTTCAAAATTTGAATGCAGGCATAGCTTCAAAGAATTCATGACAATTTCTAATGAGAAAAATGTTTCCATTACACTGTCATCTGACCATCTGCTTTCAAAGTGGCAACTGGCCACGTGACAGCATCCACCCACATGTGAGCAAGTCCCTGACGTCAAGGGTAGGGGGCACAAGTGATTCTTAATTTATGAGGCTGGTGGGAATATTTATAAACTGATAATATGGAAATATATTGAGATGATTATAAATATATTCCAAATTCATCTTTAAGCAATTATTAGTCATTAGGCTTATAATTAAAACAAAAAATTACATAATCAAGCATTCCTATACCAACAATAAAATCTGGAGTAAGGGGCACTTGGAAGATGCAGACCACCAAGTCTTTTTGTCAACGAATTTTATCTGTCAAGTTTTGAGTTTCATATTTATTTCTGAACACCATTCTCGGTGATGTTATACAGCTTTTGATTTCAAAAAATAACAAGAAACTTGGGGCCGGCCCGGTGGCGCACTGGATAGTGCGCCGCTTGGGAAGAGCGGCGGCGCTCCCGCCCGAGGGGTCGGATCCCACATACAGACCGGTTCCCACTCACTGGCTGAGCGAGGCACGGGAGCAACACCGAGGGTTGCAATCCCGTTGCCGGTGTCCGGTCCGGTACAGGGGCAACACTGAGGGTTGCGATCCGTTGCCGGACACGGAAAAAAGACAAAAGACAAAAAAAAAAAAAAAACAAGAAACTTAAAAATGGAGAAAACAAAACATGGGATTTAAGCAACTTCACCCTGGTTAATGTCCAAAGACTAAAATGGGTTTCTTTTTTTTTTTTCCTTTTTTGTCTTTTTTCGTGACCGGCAACGGATCGCAACCCTCAGTGTCGCACCCGTACCGGACCGGGACCGGCAACGGGATCGCAACCCTTGGTGTTGCCCCCGCACCTCGCTCAGCCAGTGAGCGGCCGGTCTGTATGTGGGATCCGAACCCTCGGCAGGAGCGCTGCTGCGCTTCCCAAGCGGTGCACTGTAGCAGTGCGCCACCGGGCCGGCCCTAAAATGGGTTTCTGAATGTACTATATATAACAGACTGCAGTGATGCTCATTAAACAGAAGAAAAAACTGTCTTAAAAATTAAACACAGATAACTTCAATTCAATCTTCATTTCAGCCAACAGGTGCTTATTTAAATGAATGAAGCATTTCTCAGGACACTTTTTACTTAAGATTGCAGGAGGAAGTCTTCTAATGGAAACGAGCTCTGTAACTGCTTAATGAACAGAAACCTTTAACATCTTTCAGAAGAATTTCCAGTTCTATGCAGATGTGTCCACTTATACAGAGATAAATATATCCAAACCACTAATCACTCAATTTCCTATCCTGTTTGGATGTATGTCAAACAAACAGAGTCCAGCAACACAGAGGAGGGTACACCCTCAGCTAAAGCCTGGGCTCTGCTTGGTGTGCAGTGGCCAGAGAACATTTTGGCCCAAGTGTCTGGTGCAGCTGGCCTGTCACATGCATGAGCTGCACTCACATGCATGATCTGGCACTCGCTTTATAAAATATCTGCACCTGTGCACTCTGTAGAGTTTTTCGTACTCCATCAGCTGCTCTGTGTATTGAAGGGCATGTAGTGTTTCAACCAGCACCCCCCTTTGAGAGCCCATGTTTCCTCAATAATCAAAAGGAGAAAATTCCTTTAAGGGTCTTTTGGCTGAAAAACAAATCTAAGAAAGAACACAACTGCTCTTAAAATAATCTACCGTTCTTGTTTGACTCACGATGCTCTGCACTCTTTAACAAGCCTCTGTTTCTTGGGCAATCAGAAATAACGTGTGTCAACGTGTGTCAGTCTTCACTGCCCCGTCTCGTGCATAGCAGAGACAAAGCCTACACAAATGTCTGTAAAGAACACTCATCACTACTGGGTGGAGCTCAGCAGCCCTCCTAGGGTGTGTTCTTGAACTGTGCTGCCCACCATGGGAGCCCAAGCCCCAGGTGACTGCCGAGCATGTGAAATGCATCAAGTGCACACTGAGGGATGCTGTGAAGTGTGAGATGCAAACTGACTTTGAAGACTTAAAGCACAAAAAACTGAGAGTGAAATAGCTCAAAAATTTATTAATTATATATTGAAATTATATTTTAGAAATATCATTGACTTGCATAACATTTATTAAGATTAATTCCATCTGTTTCTTTTGACATTGTTAATGTGACAGGAGCACTTGCAGAATGTTACGTGACATCTGTGGCCCTTGAAAACATGGGAGGAGAAGCAGGGCCCCTTCAGCCATTACTTTTTAAAATTTGGATATTGGGCCGGCCCGGTGGCACACTCGGTAGAGTGCGGCGCTTGGGAGTGCAGTGGTGCTCCCGCCAAGGGTTCGGATCCCATATAGAGACCGGTCCGCTCACTGGTTGAGCGCAGTGCGGGCGCGACAACGAGGGTTGCGATCCCGTTACCGGTCACGAAAAAAGACAAAAAGGAAAAATAAATAAAAATAAACTGTGTAAAAGCTTAAATTGTTATTGTTTTTTAACTCAGTTGTATGGTCTGGCTTAAATTTTTAAGTCAGGTAAAATTTTAGGAAACATCTTTTGGTTTTACTTAATAGCTACTTCCAGGAATAATTTTATATCAGACCGAATATTTTAGAATATATTTTATTAATTCTGGGGGAAGGGGACATGTTAAGTCTGATCAGGGGAAACATCTAGGTCTTCCTTATTTTCACTGAGCTATGTCAGATTTTTTAAATGTTAAGATTTGAAAGTATTACAGTGGAGGATATTTTCTGTTTTCTCTTTGGCTACAAGTCTCGGATAATCCCACGATCTTTTCTCAGTTCAAGAAAAAGTTGGCTAAAATGATGTTGGTGCTTCTTTCTCCAATTCCTAGTAGGAAATAATTAGGGTTCATCCTTATACTAGACTCAGAAAAATAAACTGTTGTTTAGACATGTGCCAAATGCTATCAACTTCTTGTAAAGCTCTGAAGGAAAGCTAAAGCCTTACAAATGAAAACAAAAAAAATCAGAGCGAAAGCTATTTCATCAATTGGACAAAACCTATAAATACATTGAAGATTGGGTTTTTCCTGATAACTTTACCTCTTTTTCTCTCACTCTTCAACAGTTTTGAGAACAGAAACATATGCTTGTATTAAATGTTCCTCTATACAATATTCATTAAAAGCACTGCTCTGCAAAAGTGGAGGAGAGCAGAATTCATTCCTTTTGGACCTACTAACCCTCTCTTTTAAAAAAGTTCTTAAATTCTGCAATTTTAATATTATATCAGTCACAAACTGAAATTTAGTATTTTAGAAATCTATGAAAGTTACTCTTTATGCAGGGTGTTTTTTTTTTTTTTTTTTTCGTGACCGGCAATGGATCGCAACCCTCAGTGTCACGCCCGTACTGGACCGGGACTGGCAACGGGATCGCAACCCTCGGTGTCGCGCCCGCACCTCGCTCAGCCAGTGAGCAGCTGGTCTGTACGTGGGATCCGAACCCTCGGCGAGAGCGCTGCTGCGCTCCCAAGCGGCGCACTGTAGCAGTGCGCCACCAGGCCGGCCCATGCAGGGTGTTTTTTTTATCTCAAGTACGTATATCTGCTCTATCCAGCAGTCGATTTCAATAATTATTGTTGTTAATACTCTTATTTCTAAACAAGTTTTCTGCCCTCAATTTATTTATTTATTTATTTTGCAGCTGTCTGGTATGGGGATCCAAACCCTTAACCCTGGTATTAGAACACTGTACTCCAACCAAATGAGTTGACTGGTCAGCCCTGTCCTCAACTTAATAGTCAAATATTCAGGGAAGGGAGGCAGATACCACATTCTGATACAGTGGTCAAAAGAGTGTCTCAAAGCTAATTCTTAAGGTTAAGATGAAAAGTGCAAAAAATACATGAATTCTGTGGAAACATCTTATGTCTACCTAAATAACAAATTATTATATACAAGAAAACAAAATCCTGAAAAAAATGTACTAGGCCAAGTATCTGGATCTATAATCAGTAGATACTAGGCCGGTTAAGATGTAATTTGAATCTAAAACACTGAACAAGTCATTCTGTAACCCATGTTTCCTAGAAGGTAACATATGACCTGAAATCTAAACGATTAATGCAACTAAGCACATATTTAGCTACGCACTCTAATTTGGTTTTTAAGTTGCTCGGCTTCCTGCCGTAACTGGTCAAGTTCACTCATCTTCTGATCTTAGTGCTCTTCAGTGCCACCTCAAAGAATCTGAGATCTGAAACAGAAACACAAACACAAAAAATTGATAAACAACTGTTGAGTAATTTAATGAAGTAGGTGAGAAAAGGAAATTGAAAATTTGAGAGCTACAATTGATTATAAATCAGAGAGCTTTTCTTCAGCATTCATCGGAACTTATAAAATGCATACCTAGGACCAGGTTAATAAAATAGAATTACGATTATTCACTGGCTTTGAATTATATGACAATGTCTAATACAATACTGAAAAATATAGTGGTGGGTTGAAAAAAGAAAAATTTGTTAAGCATTTTTCACGACAGGATCTGAGTGTCCCTATAAACCCAAAAACCTAAGACCGACCTTTAGAATAGCTATCACATGAAAACCCAGAGGCAGTTACTTTAGGAAACAGGACAATGGCAACTTAGCATCTCAAACCACATCAGTGACCATGAATCCAGGACTGGTCAAAAGATGTCAGGATCTTCACACAGCAATCCTCAAAGGACATGGTGTAGTGTCCAGCACAGTTCAGAGACAACCTGCCTTCCCACCAAAGTGGGCCATGGGATCCCAGTAGGCTCAGAAACAACATCCTGATCCTTTTTTTTTTTTTCCTTTTTGTCTTTTTTCGTGACCAGCAACGGATCGCAACCCTCAGTGTCGCACCCGTACCGGACCGGGACCGGCAACGGGATCGCAACCCTCAGTGTTGCGCCCGCACCTCGCTCAGCCAGTGAGCAGCCAGGTCTGTATGTGGGATCCGAACCCTCGGCAGGAGCGCCGCCGCGCTTCCCAAGCGGCGCACTGTAGCAGTGCGCCACCGGGCCGGCCCCGACATCCTGATCCTTATAGGTACAGGCTAAATCAGGCTCAGCCTTGCATGTCCATCCCTAGCCACATTAGTATTCCTGAAATCACAGTCAAAATGAAATCACCCTGTTAAACAAGAGACTCATCTTTCCAAGAGAATGCCATAAATGAAAATTGTATTTCTGACCAAGATCTTGGTTAAATCAATCATAAATATGACCAAAGTTTCACAAAAATGAAGATACAACTACAAATATATTTAATTACTTAAGAATACAAGTAGCTCCCACATGCAAACAGGGATTATGCAAAAACCTCAATTTCCTATGCAAATTACAAATTACACAGGGGAACAATTTTACCATAACAAATTTTGTGTAAAAGCCATACATTACTATAATATATATCTAATATTTAACTAACGGTAATTGTTTATTTTCTTGAGGTTGAAACACATCTGGAAGAAATTATCTGTATGACCCCAAAAGCTTAATTGTTGAAGTTTCTAGACCAAACTCTCCTGTTTTGCAAAAAAAAAATTCAAAATCATTACATGATCTACATTATAGATACCTGATGTACATTTACTGATAAAAATATTTCTCCCCATAAAAAGCATCTTTAAAAAGTATGTAAGTTCTTGGGGTGAAGTGGAGTAAGGTGGTGGCAAATTACCCCAGCATGGTTCTTGCCCTCACTGCACCCACCAGCCTTAGCTGCTCTGCCAGGCAGGCAGGTGGGCAGGCAGGTGGGCAGGCAGGCAGAAGGGGGTGAGCTTGTTAAGTGCTGGAGATCTCGAGCAACAGCATCAGTCAACTGCCAAACTCCTAGGAAAGACAAAGAGTAACCTCAAATTCATTAGCAGCAACCTTAAATGAAAGCCCATAGAACACTAAGAAAGGCCTACAAGGCACAGCCTGTCATGAGAAGCTAAAGCTAATGAGGGTACAAACCAAGAGACAGTAAAAGGTAGAGCCTGCTGTCACTGCTCTCTGGGAAGGTGAGGTGCACAGCAAGAAAGATGTCAGTCCAAAACAGTTGTTTCTAAAGGCATTACTTGAAGTGGATGTTTGAATCACAAGGAAAGCTTCACTAAAGGAGAACACCACCTCTGCCTCCTTGGACAGTTGCAGCATGGCTGAAAGCAGACGTGGGCAAGGCTATGCCTCAAGGACAGTGTACTCTTATGGGGCGAGACTGGTTAATTCTCTCCAGTTTTCACAAATAAACTCTAAGGACTACAATTTATCAATATTAGTGTGTAAAATAATAAAAGTGCTAATAGAATACAAAGTAATGTTTAAAATGGAAGGCTGTGTTGATGAGTTCTGCCTTGCATTCTTCCTGCCTGCCCTACAACTACTCACTCATATTTTATTGCAGAGTTGGGGTTGTGACTCTAGTAACAACCTCCTAATGCACATTAGAGAACTGTTCTTAGTCTGTAAAAAGAAGGTACTTTATTCAATCCTTCCAAAATCAATGTGAAGAAAAGTAAAAGTTAAGGCTGTCATGAAGTGCAAACCAAACTTCTCATCCTAATTCAAACACTAAAAGATAAGCTAATGTTTAAGTACGGGACTGAAAACAACAAAATTCTAGAATCTAGGTAAACAGACAAGTACTTTCTTTTTTTTTTTTTTTTTTTTTTTTTTTTTTTTTTTTTTTTTTTTTTTCCC